GCCCCCGCCCCGCCCGCTTTCCCCCCCCGCCGCTCGGGCAGTTACGGCTCCGACCCGCACTTCCTGCCGCGGAGAACCAGGCGTTCGGCCCTTGCCGGGGGCGCTGTGGGTCCCGGGCCAGGTGTGGCTGGTCGCAGCCTGCGTTCGTGCGAGTACCCACGGCCCCAGTGCGCCAGGACACCTGCACAGGCCTCGGGGCGAAGTTTGCAACTCACTTGAAAGTTGCACGGAACTGGGCTCTGCCCAACCCCAGGTCGCCGGCGCGTGGCGCAGGCGCAGTGCGGCCGCGGAGGGGGCGGGGCGAGGTCGGGGAGGTGAGAGGCCTGCCCCTTAAAGTGGCGATGCGCCTCCGACTGGTGGATGGGGCCCGTAGCTTGAGTAGCCCTCCGAATGGGAAAGATTTGGGGGTAGGAAGCGGAAACAAAAAGGTGCGGACTTCCCTAGTGGTGCAGTGGTTAAGAATCCGCCTGCCCGTGCAGGGAACACGGGTTCAAGCCCTGGTCCGCGAAGATCCCACATGCCGCGGAGCCAGTAAGCCCGTGCGCCACAACTCCTGCGCTCTAGGGCCCGCGAGCCACAACTACTAAAGCCCGCGTGCCTAGAGCCCATGCTCCGCAACAAAAGAAGCCACCTCAATGAGAAGCCCGCGCACCGCAATGAGGAGTAGCCGCCGCTCGCCACAACTGGAGAAAGCCCGCGCGCAGCAACGAAGACCCAATGCAGCCAAAAATAAATAAATTAAATAAGTTAAAAAAAAAAAGTGCGACGGGGGAAGAAAGAAATGAAGGAAATCTGGAGTCCAGAGTTTTCGCGGATCTTCACTAGCTCCCCTCTTTTGCCTCGTTTTCTCCTTCTGTGAAATGGGAATGGGCATGAGATGGGTGGACGTCCCCCGTTAGAGGCTCAGGTGAGAACTAGAAGGAGGTGTGGCTGGGCACCGGCAAATCCGGGTCTTATAGCACTAGGTCGGGAGATCAGTAAGCGCCTCAAGCGCCTCAAAGATGCTGAGGTGACCTAGAGGGAAAGTGGGGAGGAGGTGGAGGAGAGAGAACCTGAGGGATTCATCACCCCCATCCCGCTCACCCTGCTGAAGAGTGGGCTTCAGGAGTTGACTTCTCTCTGGGATACCTTTCCAGAGCCCACATCCTTGGGCAGGCTGATTTGAAAGATTCTGGGTGGAGTCCCCAGCCCCCCATGTCTTCTTCCCCAAAAGTTTGAAATCCCACCTATTTCCGAGAGTCAAGAACACAGATATCCCTGAGACCTTAACAGTATCAACGACTGCCATTTTGTAGTGCATTTTTGAGCTCAGAGACTTGATCTTTACAAAGATCCTTTTTTTTTTTTTTTTTAACCATTTAGGAAGTAGGCTCAATGGTGGAAAGTAACTTGCCCAACGGCACCTGATGGCGAACGATAAATAAGTGCTTAGAGGGCTTCCCTGGTGGTGCAGTGGTTGAGTCAGCCTGCTGATGCAGGGGACGCGGGTTCGTGCCCCGGTCCGGGAAGATCCCACATCCCACGGAGCTGCTGGGCCCGTGAGCCATGGCCGCTGAGCCTGTGCTCCGCAACGGGAGAGGCCACAACAGTGACAGGCCCGTGCACCACAAAAAAAAAAAAAAAATGCTTAGATTAATCAGTCTTCTGAGGGCAGCCCTGGGAGGGGACAGGGAATGGAAAAGCTCCTCTAGGAGGAAGGTGTGTATCTGGAAGAAGGTGAGAGGCTCAAAAGAAAAGGCTTACAATATTGTAAATCGACTATACTCCAATAAAAAGTAATTTAAAAAAAAAAAGAGAAGGCAAACTTTGCTGCGTAGAACAACTTTCCACGTGGGGTTGCATTCTTTGTACCTCTTCTGCTAGGTGCCTCATTCCTCCCTCTGAAAATGGGGAGCGCATCATCCCCCCCCCCCCC